AGGATTTGAAATAGCTCAACTGGAATTCCATCACCTCCACTAGCTTTGTTCATAGTGATGCTTCCTAAGGCCCACTTGACTTCACATTCCAGGATGTCTGGCTCTAGCTGAGTGTGAGTGATCACACCATAGTGATTATCTGGGTCGTGAAGATCTTTTTTGTATAGTTCTTCTGTGTATTCTTGCCACCTCTTCTTAATATCTTCTGCTTCTGTTAGGTCCATACCATTTCTGTCCTTTATTGAGCCCGTCTTTGAATGAAATGTTCTCTTGGTACCTCTAATTTTCTTGAAGAGATGTCTAGTCTTTCCCATTCTATTGTTTTCCTCTGTTTCTTTGCATTGATCGCTGAGGTCTGAGGAGGCCTTACAAATAGTTGTAAAAAGAAGAGAAGCGAAAAGCAAAGGAGAAAAGGAAAGATATACCCATTTGAATGCAGAATTCCAAAGAATAGCAAGGAGAGATAAGACAGCCTTCCTCAGTGACTGAAGCATACATAGGGACAAAAAACATGGCAGCAACATGTTCACAAGAAAACTCTCTGTCCTTATTGCCAACTGCCAGAGAATAACCATGATCTCTCTTCTTTCATGGACCTTTGTGAATAAATAAATTAACCACACAATTGACTAAAGTCAGAAATGTAAGACAGCATTGTATGGCCATTGGTAGCGTTTTGTTTTTATCATCTCAGTTAATTCTGAAAACACCCTGGTGATGTAGTTACTATTACTATCCTCATTTTACAGATGTAGAGACCAAGATTGAGTGAGAATAAGTAACCTAACAGTTTAGCCAGCTAGCAAATGGTTAGCACAGCCAGGATTTAGATGCCAACAATCTGGCTCCAGGGCCTCTCACTCCCATAAATCTAATACATCAAACCATGATTTGTGGTTATTACTTGAGGCTCCATTCAGTATTTAAGGTTTTAAAAGTGTGTAGTTAAGTAAAATTTAAAGAAAACCACTACCATGACTGATGCCAAAGTAAGGCAACGTTTGTCAAGGGTCACATGGGTTAGTACAGTTGGGAAAACACAAATTCACTGTGGAAATTGAGCTGTGAAGGGACACACTTCCTGAGCTGTCATAGAATTGTCAGCTAGTCTAATGCAAATCATGATGAAAACTCTAATAAGTCTCTCATGAGATAACTAATATTAAGCCAAAATTGTGCATAGGCTATCAAGCCAAGAGAGGCAGAGGCCTGCTGTACCCATCCAGGGCCAACAGGAGGAGGAAACATCTTTGTTAAAATCAGGAAGTGGTATCAGATTGCCATCTCTTACCATCTTTTTGAAAAAGAATTGGTCACCAAACCTTTTTTTAGTTAATTTCTTACCCACTCTCCAGAA